CCCCCCCCCCCACCCCCCACGAGAGTCGGTGCAGGAGCTTCCAAAGTGTCTCCATAGGTTTCAGACATTGGGCACAAAAGCAAAACATTAAATGCATTGCTTGATTCATCAACAGTATCAATCAATCAAATTTGAAATCTGTTCATTAGCAAGTGTAATCACAAAAACAAAGTAAAATGTGTTCAACTAGTATTATGAAGTAATAAATTTCATTAAAGAAAGAGCAAAAGTTTGCTCGTATACAAGAAGTATACTAAAAAAGTAGAATAGTTCATTAAAGAAAGAGCAAAAGCTTACACATACCTTACTCCTACCTCGTAGAGATAGAGAGACTTTTTTTCTAATGACCCTTGGCTCAAGTGAACAAATCAAAGCAGTAATGAAAAGGAAAAACAACAGTGAAAAACATATGACAACTAATAGGAAGCTAGTAAGAGAACATGACCCTTGGTTCACCAATGAATAACATAGGCCAGTGAAACAAGTCCTTGGACACGTAATGAATCTTTGCAGTACTATTTTGGCAAACTGGTTTTCGACTTAAAAGTTTCATAGTATAGAAAGAAGATCACAATTTAGCAAAATGAATAGAAATTACAAAACATTAGAGCACACTTTCTTCCATCACTATTAGGGGGACTTAGACATGAAGAACTACTAATAACTCCTTGGACATTGACAAGTGCAATCCATGCCTTTTCTAACAGCTCAAACCGGCCAGTTTCAAACATAAAGTTATAGATCTCAAATATGTTGCGATTAATACAAACAATAGGGGACCAAAGTTATCTATAAGAAAAGACAACTGAAGCGTGCGGAGAGGATATTGGATAGCTTAGGAGCTCCTGTGCCATTGTAACATAATTCGGAGATGCATCACTCCCTTGGAATGCGGCAACAATGTCAAACTTTTCTAGCACAATTGCATGGTTGAGCAAATATTTTACCAATGGTAGCACAGATCCATTCAAGTTAAGGATCTTGATGGTCTTCAGATAGGGAAATGAGCCATTAAAATTATGTGACTCAAACCTCCTGATCTGTTCGTCCTCATTTGTGTACCTTGACAGCAAGTCCTGTAGGAAAGAAACCACTGTATTAACCAATTATTTTCCTTAGATGGAAGCATCTTTTACCATTTAAGGTGAGTACTATATCATTTACTTGTTAAACATCTTTTACCAACAACTACAACAAATTTACTCATATAGTGACAACATGAATCAAAGCAACACAAGCTGAACTATATTATGAAGGAAAATAAATTGAGAGAACAAAAAAGCTCATTTAAACGTCATACAAGAAAAAATAAATAATAAGCACGCAACTGCAACAAATTTAACAAAGAGAATCATAAACTTTTTCTACTAGAAAAGCAGATTTTGAACAAAAAATATGACTGAAGCATTTGCACTTTCCTATGGGCTTATATGGTATCCTGAAAGCCGACTCTTTACTTATTGTGTGTTCAAGAGAGTTGCAAAACCTTCTTGGGAATATGAACCTATTATTGAAAAGATTAAGTCGAGGTGACGGAGAAGCCAATTGTATGGCTAATTCTTTAGTTGGATACAATCACCCAGTGGATGCAGAGAAAAACATTTTCAACTTTAACTCAGTATGAAGAGAAGCTAGAGTGAACTTAAGGTTGACACATGGAAGCTCTTTTCCTTCATAATTGGAAAGAAAGCCCAAAGCTTATCTCCAATAATGCAACAAGATGAACTTCCCGGTTTGATCCTTCAGTCAGTTCACGTGTTACTTGTCTCACTTTTTCTCCTTTTTAGTTCTTATGGAAACAACGTACACGAGAGCAGTCTCCACAAGTTAGAAGCTATTGTCTCATTAAGTACTTAAGCTAGCTATGCTTCAAATTGCAAATGGGAGTTCTTGTTTTGTTTATACATTAAGGATTATCTCCTACACTTTTATCAAACATTGAACCTTCTTAATCTTCTCCACACTTGAGGATTGAATACAAGTCTCTCTTTTTTTAACAACTAGGAGGGGTCTAAATTAAAACGAAATTCTGATTATTTTTTTCCAAAAGTACTTAAGATAAGAAATGTTAAATATATCTTCTTCCTCCACTAATAGTTGTTTGAAATAAATAACATGAAGTAACAAATATAAAGGTCTAACCCTTCGAAATGGCTGTCACGCCCCGAGCCTACACCCTGGGGGGACCGGCACCCGGAGACCATTCCTGGCCCCAAGCGAACCCTTGGTCTGGCTTTCTTAACTCAGCGGAAACCTAACTTAACTGAATAACTCAATGCAATGCAAGGTTATAACATAACCTAACTGATAAAATATGGCCAAAAAGGCAACTCGAGTCTCAAAATAGAATATTTATATATATACATGGATGCGAGACTCAAAACAAACTGACTGACTGTCTATGAAGCCTCTAAAATACTGAGATGGATGTTGGGACAGAACCCCGCAAGTATCCTAATAAAACAAACTAAGAGAATAAAACAACCGAGTCCTCCGGAAAGCAAAGAGGCTCACCACTGACTTTGGAGAGCTCAACTGGATCAACGGCGTGACGGATGCTGATCCTGGGTACCTGTGTCTGCATCATAATAAGATGCAGGCCAACTGGCATCAGTACATGGAATGTACGAGTATGCGAGCTGGAAAGCTAACCCACAACTTAAGCTTGAAAGGAATACAATTGACTCTTACCTTGGCTTTGTACGACTCATGAATAACTGAACTCAATATATAAAGCAATAAGACACATGCAATATATTAAGCTTGTAAAACAGTTTAAACAACTTAGCTCATAAATGATAAAGCAATAACAAACTCAACTTTCCTTATATAAAAGTAATATAACTTCAGTGGGAGATTCTTTAACCGACAACCACCACTATGAGCCCTAGTGGTGGTACAACGTTTTACCTCACGTTGCCCAAGGATCATCCTATACCTGGCCGTGATAAAGGAAGCTAACTTTACTAAGTGGATCCACTAACTTAACTTTATGGATTCATCTAAAAAGTATGACCCGTTAAATCCCATGTTGGCCGCATGGTTCTTATGGAGAGTGGAGTTAATATGAACTCGTATCCCCAACTCGGTGCTCAAGACTACTCCCAAAAATATACTTTAGCTCATAAGTGTTTTAAAACACATCTTTCTTTAGTTTGAGATAATTGTTCAAAATCTAGCCCAAAGGCTCACTTGGATCGATGTTCCCTTTTTTCTTGAAAACTAGCCCAAAGGCTCTTTTGGAATCATAGTTCCTTTCTTACTTAAATGTAAAAACATTTAGAAACTTCTTTGGGAAATACATAGTTCCCTAATAACTTTTGAGAAATGGACTCGACTTTAAACTCTTGACTTAACTTGAAACTTGAGACTCTTCACTTGGCTTGAAACTCTATACCCTTTTCTTGACTTGAAACTTGAGTCTTAAAAATGAAGCTAAAACGTTCAATAAAGACTCTCAAACAACCTTAGAACTTGCTTAACTTCTAAGCTTAACTCTTAACTTTACTTGACTTCTAACTTCACTTAACTTGGAAACTAACTCTCCTTGAATTGGATTATGAATTCAAGGTGTTTGATCACATGTTATGGATGAGTTCTTAACATTTAGACGTACTTTGGAGTGTCGGAAACAACTATGAAACATAGGTACTTTATCAAGGAACATGCATGGACAAGTGGGGAATGAATGGGAAAGGTTGGCATTCTTGGCGCTCTGAGAGGCGCGGGGCGCCAGCCCTAAAACTTCAGAGGGCAGGTTGGGGCGCACTACTAGGCGCGCCGCCCTAAGGGGGAAACTTCAGAACCCCTTTTGGGGCGTGTTGGCAGGCGCGACTCCCCAGAACACTCGACTTTTCTCCTTTCTTTTTCCAACTCTAAACCTTCTAAACCTCAAAGGTTTCAACACCAAATACTTAGGATCATAAACCCCTCAACATACAATAGATTTCAACTCAAAAACACAACCGGAAACATGTCCCAAATCAACAAGGAACTTCAACAACACAATCAACAACATCAACAACACAACCCAACAACTTCAACAACATAACCAATCTTTTCTCAAAAATAAAATGAGTTAGGCGTGTGGGGGAAAGGATCAACCCAACACTATGAACTCACATACCGAGTAGGGATTACCCCCGACGGAAACTTGTTTGATCTCTTCTTTCTCCTCTTCTTCTTTTTCTCTTCTTCTCTCAAAACCCTTACTCTCACTCTTTTAAAATGGGACAGACTGATCTAAAAATCAGTCCAACACTATAATATAACAAAAGGAATTGGTTAGGGAAAAGACCAAAATGCCCTTAAAATTTCCGGACAGATTTCCCTGCCAACAGCCCAACTTTCAAAGGGCATAACTCACTCATACGAACTCGAAATCGAGCAAATGCGTTGGAAAGATCATTCCACGAACTTTACAACCATAACTGGAACTACACCTAAGTTATCTTGAGCTAGAAGTTATGACTGCTCAAAGTTGGCCAAACTCACCTTTTTTCCATACTTAGCCAAATTTCCAGATTTTTAAAATTCTTTCCAAAAATGAAAATTTCCAAAAAAAATTTAAGCCTCTTCGTAGTTATTTCAAATTGCCGGATGTTACAGTGGCCCAGTGGTTTGGGCTTGAGACTTCTATGTTGGAGGTCTCAAGTTCGAAACCCCTTGCCAACTTTCTGGGTCTAGCTTGTCGCACCAGGCTTGCCTAGTGCGAGTTACCTCTTTTGTGTGGTTTGCGAGCTATTGCATAAGAGCGGGGGTTTTACCTTGTACGCACCAAAATGATTGCATAGGAGGGGGGTTTGTGCGCATCCAAAGGGTAGCGGCTGCGTGTTTCCCTTGTCATCAAAATAATTTTTTTAAAAAAACATATATAAAGGTCTAACAGAAACTTACTCCAGATTCAACATCGTACCAATCAATGACCAATGTCTCAAGATCCAGTGAGCTCTGTAGAAAGCAGCAAATTCCAGGGAAATCCAATTGTTCAAATCCCACATCAAGTTCTAAGAACTTCCGGCTTGATGGTGGAAACTCCCACCCTTTCAACTCCAAGATGGACAAGAACTTACAAAAAAGTTAGACAAACCAAGGAAATATGACATACTTAATAAATGAAATGCAAATTGTAGAATAATTCATATAAACAACTTGGACTTCTACAACTGTTTTGCCACATATGGTTGGTTTGAGAATCCAAAAATGGACCTATGAACACATGGGAAAGCCCATTAACAAGACTAAATAGTTTTACATATTGCAAACTCTTTATTCTCATAGTTAATCTTCAAATATTTTGTTCAAAAGATCTTGTTTCAACTTAGATTATACCAAGTAGTGGCATTATCAGTGTTACTATAGTGATGATTCAATAGCAAATAAAAAGTCCCTAAAAAGGATTTGAATTTTGGACAATGAAGAGTATGAATGTACCGCGATGCACCAGGATCCCAAGTTAAGATTTTCGACATGGGCAATGTTGTCAAGAAGTTCCTTAAACAACCTAAATTCCTTCTCTAAGTTTTGTTCTTCGTCCTCAAAATCAAAATCTAAACAAAGCACTGCAGTAACAAGTGATGACACATTTACGATGCGTATCTCACTACACAACCCCAAAATTTGCAAATTTTAATAGAAGGGGCAAATGATTCGAGCCAAAGGTCATGATTCTCATTTTTATAGTCGAGTATAATCAATTCTCTCAACTTCATAGAGCTTATTTCCAAACGATGTATGCTCGAATTTTTTTTCAATTCCAAGTACTCCAAGTTTGGGAAACCAGATAATACCTTTTCAATGACACCATCTGTGAATTCCATGTAAACAATTGAAAGAGAAAGGAGACTACTCCAGTTAACATTGCCAAAAGGGTTCAATTGGCAGTTCCATAAAACCAAATTCCTCAATGACGCATTTTTATATGCAAATTGAGGAAACTCATATCTTCGGTTATTTGTAGAAAGTCCAAGTTGAAGATCTTCAACATTAGCAAGTTTAGTCGCAAAATAAACCCATATATCAACATCTTTAGCATAACATTCGTCGTACTTAAGGCACCACACTCTGAGTTTCCGAATCTTCTCGCAAGACCTCCAATAATAAAGTTCTCTGTGGATAGAAACTAGGTAATCACGAGTGTCATTTTCATTGTCACTAACCGGGAAGTTGAATTCAAGTGATGTTGGAACGAATTTCCAAAGAAACTGCCATCGTTCAGACAATACACTGGTTCTCACAACTTCTTTATTGTTCGGCAACATAGAGAGGATGTGAAGTAGGATTGAATCGGGCAAATCGTTGAGTCGGTCTCCTCCCGCCATGAGTTTCCTTTGCATTTCCATGGAGTACAACTAGTACTATGTCTTCAAGGTGGAGGGTTTGTGGAGGTGTTGATTGGGTCAACGAAATCGGGTAAGTACTCGGTAATTTAGGCTGATTTCCCTAAACCAAATATATAGTTGGCAAAAAAAAAACATAAATAGAGAACTTTTAAAGAACTATTACATATACATGTAAACATTAATTGATTATCAATTATGACATATAAAACATTAACTTCTTTTTTTTTTTATAAAGTTAAAGTTGTATTCTTCGGCATTAAGGGTATGCTGGCTACCTCCAAAAAGTTACAATATAAAACCATAATTACATAGATCCTAGGAAATCTACCAACTGTTCTACTTCTTCTATACCATCTTCTTTACACCAAAAAAACAACATGTTAATGCAATTTTCTTTAACTTTCTGAATAGAGTTGGTAATATTCTCATGACACCTAAGGTTTCTTTCTCTCCAAATAACCCACCAGGCACAAGTAGGTACTATAGACCACCATCTTTTTTGGGTCTTGCCCCCTCCCCCTCCTCTTCCAGCAGCTCAAAAGATCAGCAAGTGAACACCCCTAATTACAACTACTATTATGTCTTCAAGGTGGAGGGTTTGTGGAGGTGTTGATTGGGTCAACGAAATCGGGTTAGTGCTCTGTAATTTAGGCTGATTTCCCTAAAGCAAATATATAGTTGGCCAAAAAAACATAAATAGGGAACTTTTAAAGAACTTTTACATATACATGGAAGCAATAATTGATTATCAATTATGACATATAAAATATTAACTTCTATAGCATTTTTAATATACAAAGAAACACTCTACATAAATTACCTACACAAGGATAATATTTAAAGATCAATTCCATTAAAATAGAAATAATAATCAAGAATCCATAAATCCTCGTGTTCTTTCCTACAAATTTCATCAATTAAGTTAGTAGATACTACATTTGTTTAATAGAACTATAAATAAACATATACATATTAGATTTATTTCAAACTAACCAAGCTTGCATCACTTGGTCAGTTTGAAATAAATCTAATATGTATATGTTTCTTTACAGTTCTATTAAACAAATGTAGTATCTACTAACTTAAGGGATGAAATTTGTAGGAAAGAACACGAGGATCTATGGATTCTTGATTATTATTTCTATTTTAATGGAATTGATCTTTAATTGTTATCCTTGTTTAGGTAATTTATGTAGATTGTTTCTTTGTATATTAAAACATGCTATAGAAGTTAATAATTCATATGTCATAATTGATAATCAATTAATGTTTCCATGTATATGTAATAGTTCTTTAAAAGTTCCCTATTTATGTTTTTTTGGCCAACTATATATTTGCTTTAGGGAAATCAACCTAAATTACAGAGCACTTACCTGATTTCGTTGACCCAATCAACACCTCCACAAACCCTCCACCTTGAAGACATAGTAGTAGTTGTACTCCATGGATATGCAAAGGAAACTCATGGCGGGAGGAGACCGACTCATCGATTTGCCCGATTCAATCTACTTTACATCCTCTCTATGTTGCCGAACATAAATAAGTTGTGAGAACCAATGTATTGTCTAGTGTATTGTCTGAACGATGGCAAATTTCTTTGGAAATTTGTTCCAACATCACTCGATTTCAACTTCCCGGTTAGTAACAATGAAAACGACACTCGTGATTACCTAGTTTCTATCCACAGAGAACTTTATTATTGGAGGTTTTGCGAGAAAATTTGGAAACTCAGAGTGTGGTGCCTTAAGTACGAGGAGCGTTATGCTAAAGATGTTGATATATGGGTTCATTTTACCACTAAACTTGCTGACGTTGAAGATCTGGAAGTTCGGCTTTCTACAAATAACCGAAGATATGAGTTTCCTCAATTTGCATATAAAAATGCGTCATTGAGGAATTTGGTCTTATGAAACTACCAATTTAATCCTCTTGGCAATGTTAACTGGAGTAGTCTCGTTTCTATTTCAATTGTTTACATGGAACTCACAGATGGTGTCATGGAAAAGGTATTATCTGGTTGCCTGAACTTGTAGTACTTGGAATTGGAAAAAAATTCGAGCATACATCGTTTGGAAATAAGCTCTGTGAAGTTGAGGGAATTGATTATACTCGAATATAAAAATGAGAATCGTGACCTTTGGCTCGAATTATTAGCCCCTTATATTCAAAAATTGCAAATTTTGGGGTTGTGCAGTGAGATACACATCATAAATGTGGCATCACTTGTTACTGCGATGCTTAGTTTAGATTTTGGTTTTAAGGACGAAGAACAAAACTTGGAGAAGGAATTTAGTTTTTTTAAGGAACTTCTTGACAACGTTTCCCATGTCGAGAATCTTAACTTGGGATCCTGTTGCATAGAGGTATATTCATACTCTTCACTGTCCAAAATTCAGATCCTTTTTAGGGACTTTAGTTGCTATTGAATCATCACTATAGTAAATATTGATGTGCCACTATATTGGAGTAATGATCCCTTTTTGGACCTCTTAATTACCTAACTTGCTAGCATAATGTTTTCTTCTTTTCAATATGTAAAGAAGATTCTATCAATATAACTGGCTGAGCACCAAACCCATGCTAGTGAGTACAAAAACTATATATAAATTGGAATGATGGAAACATAATAGTTTTGTGTACAAATGGAATATTATGATATAAATCTATCACAGCAATGTCTTCATTAACATATTTCAGTTAGTTTGCACCAAAAAGCAGTTTCAGTCACGAATGGCTTTTGCTTTCCTTCAAAAGTAGACCCGTTGTTTCTTTCTTTCGGTAAATCCCATAGTACACAGCAACACGCAATCTCAACTGCCATTTTTGACCCCCTTAGTTCTCTTCTTAGAGAAAATATGCTTGTTAATTGTGCTATGTAGACTAGACTACTTAAAAGGAGTGAATTGAGGATTATCATTAAAGCAACATTTGATTAATTTTAATGTGTTGTTGAGGATAATCATTAGTACATGCTCTAAACAGTTCTATTTGACAACTTGATTCAACTTAGACTACTCCTGTGCTCCGAGAAGTATGCTGCTCAAGAACTACTAGGGGAGAATATTAATGTGTTGTTGCAGTGAAAATGTATCTAAATAACTTGTGGCAATGACATCTAGTAGTTAATTAGAGAAATGTTGGGTTCAAGGAATAGATGCACATTTCAAAAGATTCCAAATCTCCACCTATAAAGTGGAACTCAGTTACTAATATGCATAAAGAGATGCTTCAGTTTTAGGATGTTCATATTGCATATGTTCAAAATCATGAACCTAAATGATTATACTTGGGAACTTTAGAAAAAAATCCTAATATATACAGGACACATGCCAATGTAATTCAATTTCTCTACTTGTGAATCTAATTGAAGAAAAAACAAAAAAAAAGTGTTCAGCAACTTTGATTAATTTGAGTTATCACAAAGGGCACTAGTCATCTCTCAGACATTAACATAGAGTCATAGACCTATGTGGTTCCATTGCTAGCATGAGGACATAGTTCCCTAGTAAAATACAGATATAAAATCACAATTCTGTCAAGTTTCTCTCCTTCCTGTTAGATTAAGAAGTCAATGTTGCATTAACATTCCTACTTCACAATAGGGTTTACAAGGAATAATTAGTTTAACCCTTTGGGGTGGCCCAGTGGTTTGAGCTTGGGACTTCTATGTTGGAGGTCTCAAGTTTGAAACCCTTGCCAGCGAAAGCAAGGGGTTTGCCTTCTGGGTCGAGCTCGTCGCACCAGGCTTGTCTAGTGCGGGTTACCTCTCCTATGTGGTTTGCGAGCTATTGCATAGGAGCGGGGGTTTTACCCTGTGCGCACCCAAAGGGTAGCGGCTACGGATTTCCCTTGTCATCAAAAAAAAAAAAAAATTTAACTTCAATAAGCATAGTTACCTTTCATCCTTGTAATGGCAACAACTTCCAGGCTTCAACTTCTGACGGGGTAAAGGGCACCCAAAAAGTTTTGCCGCATCATTAGACTCTGTAACAGGATGACCTCAGATATGTTTACGGGATCGTCTCTGTAAAAGGTGAGACGCCTTGGCCTAGAGATCTTCTTGATTCATAAAGAGGTTATACTATAGATGATGTGGGAATTGTAACAGATTTCATATCAAGGGGTTCTACTCCACGAAGCTCATATAATATGTTGGATGACAAGTATATTCTGATACTATTGAGAAACTTTAAATGCTATTGAGTAATCCAGTTAGCACCCTTCTTGGTGAGGAGAACTCCAGAAGAAAGTGATCTCCTCACCAAGAAATTGTGAAACCAAAAGGCCAAATATCTCAAAAATCCAGATCAAATTATGAAAAGAGCCCAAAATCCCCCAAAAGAAAATGATTCAAAATAAAAGAAGAATAGTCAAGTACTCAAGTAAACCAGAAACAACCTAAGAGTCAATTTTGCATAAGAACAAAAGCAAACGTAGAGCAGACACTCTCTCCTTCCATATTCACATTCCATCATGTTAATAACACAATAAACTGTAAATAAGTTTCTCAGTTAGTTGTCCTACAAATTATGCATTTCCTTCTGATAGTTCACTTGCTGTCCTAATGCATCTTTCTTCTTTTGCCAACTTTAAAATATAATATCTGCAATCAATTCACAAAGACACAGGGCCAGTCAAGAAATATCAAGGAAAAGAACATGACAACTAACTTGTTAAGATTTAGTCATCTTTAGTTCACATACATGACCAAATAACGTATTTAAATTGGCAAAAGGCTCAGTCAGGCATTCAACTGGCTTGAACTCAACTGCTGACAGAGGCAGCTCTAGTAACAATATTTTATAGGCATAATACATAAATGTGCCCAAAGTTGGAGGGCATTAATGTCAGCCGAGGCAAAGTAAAAAGGTATGTTTATGTATTATGGCATATAAAAAAGGTGTTATCTTTTTGAATCAGCCCAAAAGAAAAAAAGTCATATATCATGAGAAGAAAATGTTAATTTCACCCCGGATATTCCAATAAGTCAAGAATTTTGCACATTTTATCCTGGACAAATGGAAAATTTTTATAATAACACTACATTTCTTTAATATTCTTTTTCAATATTGGGCGTAGGTGAAGGGAAAATGT